TCTGGTTCCCGTTAAAGATTGAAAATGCCATAATTCCGTCAAAAATCAACGAAGCAGAACCAAATGCGAACTTGTTCTGTAACTCATCAAGATACAATCACATACCAAAAATCAGCTCAATATCTGCAAGCGTTTAGAAAAAAGTGCGGAAAACCAAGTGGGACAGACTGACAGACAGACAGAGGGACAGCTAGACAGATGAACAGACAGACTCAGAGGAAACCTATAGTCCCCTCCGGTTTCACCGGTAGGGGACTAAAAACTGAGTGTCCATTTCTCAAAATGATACAAAATAATGTCACTTGTCAATCACACATATGAACATCAACAAGTTCAACAAGTTACTTTTCCAAACAACATTTTAAACCAGTTAAACAAAGTTCCCCAGAAAACATAAATTTATGTCTTAAATAAGGGCTTTTCTGGTATCACCCTTAAAATGATAAATAGCAACTTGTAAATTAAAAATCAATTTCATCTACTTGGTTGAAGTCATTTCCAAATATTTACATAAATTTGGATCAACAACCCCCCTCACCAGCCAGATTTATCCATTTATGTGGAGGTATAGTCAATTTTAGCAACTAATTGTTTTTATTTAAATACACTCCTTGAAGGTTCCATTCAATGAAATGCCAAAAAAAACCCTAATATTAGTGTTAATTGGTGTTTAATATTGAGGAGTAAAGGTCACTTAAGTCACTTTGAAGTTGTTCATTAGCTCTGTGTTCAAAGAAGAATGGAAATAATAGGGTTTAAGAGAAAGCAGTACAAAGCCTACCACTCAGGTCCAACATTTGTTTCAATTCAACACTTATGTTAATAGGTAAATGGATGTAAAATTTACATGTAATATTTGACCAGATTGACATTATATATGTATCATCCCTCTAACATGTGAACCCATTTATGCTCCTTTTACTATTACCCATTCATACAAGGCATTCACTGAACAACAAATTTTGATTGGGCCACACACACTTTGGCTACTTTCTGATTGTCATGACAGTGTGAAATCAAAGTACTCAGAAGTACAGAGAGCCGGGCTCATATACAGAAAAGTGAACAAATCCGTTTTACATGAAACATACATTGTAATAACAGATGAATAACAACGAGACACTGGAAGAATATGTAACACAAAAATATATTTATGGCATATAGTATAAATAAGAAAAATGTTTAAAAAATTAAATAAAATGCAGTTCGAATTTAACAGTGTAAACAATTTATCACATGTATCGTTTCGGGGTCTAACATCACTTACAGAAGTAAATAAACATTGATGCAGCAAGGTCAAACGTTTATACACAGACGGGTCCTCAGCAGTGAGTTTTGCATAAAGGTGCGCATCGGGTCACGTGCTCCCCGCATTAGTGTTAGCCTGTTAACACAAGGTTCTTTATTTATAGAATGTGACGTTGACAGAGACTTGATGAAAACCTTTCGCATATTTTGAACAAATACTTAATTGAAGAAGAGGGGAGAAAGTATATTACCATTAATGTTTTTGGGTTTAGAGAATTTTGTAGTTAACTTAAATTTGTTTATTTTAGTCTTTGTATTGCTTCAAAGGTGGTTGAGCATACGTACTATATTCTTACTCGTATTTGATTTGGCGGTGAGGAAGCAGCATTTCCGGTTGAACACCGTAACAAAAGCCGGCTATTGCTCTTCGAGCAATGAGCCCGGCTAAAAAAGTACCACAAAATCAGCTCTTCAAAATATTCTCTCAAATACAAAATAATGATCAAGAAATTACAAATGTGGTCAACTAGCTACCACAGGAAGACCATTTATTTAAGTGTAAAACCAGAAAACTATTGCAAATGTCTCATTCATTACTGAATACAAGGGACAAAACTGAATTTCAAACTGAAAATTTTACAGCAGAGAAAACAATTCAGTATTTCAGATGATATGACTTTCTTTAAATTCAAATATTTCCTTTGACATCAAATTGAAAATGTAATATTTTTCAAATTAGTTAAAATGCCAAAGGTGATCAAAATATGGGACTTTCAAATGATTACATTCAATACAGATTGCTGATATTTTTAACAGTAAAAAAACATAGGTAATCAAAGATTACTAAGCTCACCTCGACGAATGTTATCTATAAGTAAGGTAAATCTCACATCATATTTTTTTCCTAGTTAGTGTACATTCCAAGATTAATATCCATCAATATTAGATTCAGAATCCAAAGTAAGTCTGGAACTGTCCATCTCTAGATACATCATCATTCATGCTAATTTGGTTAAAATATGGCTAAAAATCACTCATGTGGAAAATCTAGGTCAGATCCAGAATCCAAAGCAGGTTAGTTAGTGTACATCCCTAGATGCATCATCCATGCAAGTTTGGTCCAGGTAGGGCTTATATTTAATTGGGAATGGACCTGCTCCAAAAAAACTTTAACCTGATCAATCATCTGGAAAATCTAGGTCAGATCCAGCATCTGAAGCAAATATGGTAGTGTCTATCCCTAGATGTATCATCCATGCAAATTTGGTCCAGGTAGGGCTTTTAGTTACTTGGGAATGGACCTGTTCTAAAAACTTTAACCTGGTCACTCATCTGGAAAATCTAGGTCAGATCCAGCATCCCAAGCAAGTGTGGTAGCGTCCATCCCTAGATGCATTATCCACGAAAGTTTGGTCAAGGTAAGGCTTAAATAATCACTTGGGAATAGACCTGCTCCCAAACCTTTAATCTAGTCACTCATCTGGAAAATGTAGGTCAGATCCAGCATCTGAAGCAAGTATGGTAGAGTCCTTCCTTTGATGCATCATCCATGCAGGTTTGGTCCAGGTAGGGCTTATAATTGGGTACCTGCTCCAAAAACTTTAACCTAGTCACTCATCTGGAAAATCTAGGTCAGATCCAGCATCTGAAGCAAGTGTGGTAGTGTCCATCCCCAGATGCATCATCCATGCAAGTTTGGTCAAGGTAGGGCTAATAGTTTCTTGGGAATGGACCTGCTCCAAAAACTTTAACCTAGTGACCCATCTGGAAAATCTAGGTCAGATCCAGCATCCAAAGCAAGTGTGGTAGTGTCCATTCCTATATGCATCATCCATGCAAGTTTGGTCCAGGTAGGGCTTATAATTACTTGGGAATGGACCTGCTCCAAAAACTTTAACCTGGTCACTCATCTGGAAAATTTAGGTCAGATCCAGCATCCGAAGCAAGTGTGGTAGTGTTCATCCCTAGATGCATCATCCATGCAAGATTGGTCAAGGTAGGGCTAATAGTTACTTGGGAATGGACCTGCTCCAAAAACTTTAACCTAGTGGCCCATCTGGAAAATCTAGGTCATATCCAGCATCCAAAGCAAGTGTGGTAGTGTCCATTCCTAAATGCATCCTCCATGCAAGTTTGATCCAGGTAGGGCTTATAGTTACTTGGGAATGGACCTGCTCCAAAAACTTTAACCTGGTCACTCATCTGGAAAATCTAGGTCAGATCCAGCATCCGAAGCAAGTGTGGTAATGTCCATCCCAATCTGCATAATCCATGCAAGTTTGGTCCAGGTAGGGCTTATAGTTACTTGGGAATGGACCTGCTCCAAAAACTTTAACCTGGTCACTCATCTGGAAAATCTAGGTCAAATCCAGCATCCGAAGCAAGTGTTGTAGTGTCCATCCCTAGATGCATCATCCATGCAAGTTTGGTCCAGGTAGGGCTTATAGTTACTTGGGAATTGACCTGCTCCAAAAACTTTAACCTGGTCACTCATCTGGAAAATCTAGGTCAGATCCAGCATCCGAAGCAAGTGTTGTAGTGTCCATCCCTAGATGCATCAACCATGCAAGTTTGGTCCAGGTAGGGCTTATAATTCCTTGGGAATGGACCTGCTCCAAAAACTTTAACCTGGTCAATCATCTGGAAAATCTAGGTCAGATCCAGCATCCGAAGCAAGCGTGGTAGTGTCCATCCCTAGATGCATCATCCATGCAAGTTTGGTCCAGGTAAGGCTTATAGTTACTTGGGAATGGACCTGCTCCAAAAACTTTAACCTGGTCACTCATCTGGAAAATCTAGGTCAGATTCAGCATCCGAAGCAAGTGTGGTAGTGTCCATCCCTAGATGCATCATCCATGCAAGTTTGGTCCAGGTAGGGCTTATAGTTACTTGGGAATGGACCTGCTCCAAAAACTTTAACCTGGTCACTCATCTGGAAAATCTAGGTCAGATCCAGCATCCGAAGCAAGTGTTGTAGTGTCCATCCCTAGATGCATCATCCATGCAAGTTTGGTCCAGGTAGGGCTTATAATTCCTTGGGAATGGACCTGCTCCAAAAACTTTAACCTGGTCAATCATCTGGAAAATCTAGGTCATATCCAGCATCCGAAGCAAGTGTGGTAGTGTCCATCCCTAGATGCATCATCCATGCAAGTTTGGTCAAGGTAGGGCTTATAGTTACTTGGGAATGGGACTTGCTCCTAAAACTTTAACCGGGACGCCGACGCTAACGCCGACGCCGACGCCGACGCCAACGCCGGGGGTATAGCATAAGCTCATCTCGACTTCGTCGAGGTGAGCTAAAAATGTCTCCAAGCAACTGCAAAAATATTGATTCATTTCAAAGTTCTGATTTTTCAGTGATAAATAATGAAGAAATTGACCAGAATCAATCAGGTTGAAAAAGATTTGCATTCTCTGTTTACTTTGAATTTCCAAGCAAATAAATCTCCTCATATATCATACTTACCCTTGATTCAAATTTTCCAATCATTTTATCAAATACAGTCAGACCTCGTTATCTCAAACTCAATGGGACAGAGAAGAAACTTTGAGATATCTGAGGATCTGGGGTATCCAGGGTAAAATACTTAAAGGATAAGGGGTTGGGACTTCAAAATCACTTTGACATATCCATGGTATTTGAGATATCAGTGTTTAAGATACCAAAGTTCAACTGTATATTCAATAAATATCAGAGTATATTGGACTGCACAAGAACCCTGTTTTTATGTTTTGCAGTTAATTCTTACCTGAATCATCAAATGGATTCTCATCCTCCTCCGATTCTGATGGAGAGTCCACTGGAATATCATCTGTTGAAAAAAAAAAAGATTGTCAACAGTTTTTCTAAACACTGTAACAGTTTCTTTAAAAGTTACACTTCACTCTATTCCAAAAATAAATCATACAAAAATGAACAATTTCCTTCCTGTTCATATACTGAAATATTAATTATATTCAATTTCAAAAAATGGATAAATAGGGCCTATAGTGTAAACATACTTTTTTCCCACATGGTCATAATTACACAGAATCACAATTTCTGTTCAATCCAGGAGTAGAAAATAACGCAGATTTCTTTTATTGCCATTGAATTCTTAAATATACTTTAAGTACGCTGTGACAAATTTTGGAAAATTTGTAACTGCACACAGTGTAAATTAATTCCATGCTGAATAATGCATTTATATTGTATTTAAGGTAGTTCTACACTCAGCACTACATGGGCTCAATCTTGAAAAATCTGCTTTTATAAGATAGACATACACCCCAGCAATAGAAAAACATAAGAGAAATCAAATGTCAACATGTTTACTTTTCTGCTATTGCCTCTCAGACTATATACCCCGAAATGCAAAATACTGAAATTTATGAAAATACAAATTTGTCTATATACATGTATAAGAATATTAAAATCTAAACAGTCAATTGTAATACACAAAATAGAAGAGAAACCTGTTAAGAAATAATATTTAATCATTGTTTTGCGTGAATTATTATAAATATGTGCACTTTGATAGGCTAACGTATCAAAATTTAGCACGAGAAAATATGCTTCATATGTCAATCTCGGTCATTTTTGAATATTTTTATGGACTCAATCTTCAAAAATTTGCTTCTTTTTTTTTTTTTTTTACTAAATAACATCTAAGAAAAAGAATAAGCTAAAAACAATTATATGTTGACCCATTACTTTTCATGATATGAGCTCTGCAATAAGGGTACCCCCATGAAATTTCTCTTCCAAAAGTAATATATTGCAACTTTTTACTATAATACAGTTAAAGTTTGAGTGTACAAAGTTTTACATATTTAAAACAATAATGCACACCCAATACCTACTGTCCCTAAAATTTACCTTGTTTTAAAAAAAAATTAAAAAAAAAAAAAACAATAAAAAAAAACACTTGACAGTAAATTAGAGACAATGGATCAGAACGTGATTGACTGATTCCCACAAACTGGATGATCTGGTTAAAGAAATTAAGTGTGCTGCAAGTGAATCAACTATTTTCATATACTAAAATTCTACAGATAACTTTGCATTGTGATTAAATGCGATGGGTTTTCGTGGGGAGGGGGGTTATGTGTCTAATGTGATAATTATTATATATTCAAGACAAATATTGTAATCTTTGAAATAATAAAATTTGTCACTGTCAAATCGTAAAAACTCCTTTTCTTGCGATCTTTCAGTGTTAGCTTCAACTTGTCTGCCGACAATAGTCTGTCTGTCGTATTGATTAGATACATATACAAGTACAGTCCAGTACATTACGAAAAACTGTAATATTACAATTTTCCATAATATAGTGTAAGTAAGAGTCATCTCCCTCATTGAAAAAATAAATCTAATGCTTGATTAAATCTGCATCTAGCTCACAGCAGGACCAGTACTATCACTAACTATAAGAATAAGAAGTAAAGTAGATACCTAAGGAGTATCATGTATCTTATCTAAGCCTTTACATTGGCTTAATACAAGATTATCACCTGGATAATCATTAGTGCATTAGTTACACTATGAAAGAACCATGATGGTCAGAGCAAAACTAGGGAGGACAGAGACATAAGACCAGTATTGGGTCACTGGGTCAACTTCAAACTATACAAGAAAATTAGTGCCAATCCCAGAAAAATATTTTTCTTTGGGAGATATTGACATCCAAAGTGTGCACTATGTCAAAGAAAGTGAAAAATAAGCAATAATTTTGGACTATTTCTTACAAATTTGCACCATGAAAACAATTAAAACAGATGTTTGGAACCAAAATATAGCATAATGAAGCATTTGTATGGCTTAATTTTGATATTTGCACAACATTATCTATATTACAGTTTTCCGTAATATTACAATTTTTCATAATATAGTTATATTATGAAAAATTGTAATATAAAATCTTATATTATGGAAAACTGTAAATTACGGTTTTTCATAATGGACTGGAGTGATGTAGCATACTTGTGATCCATGTTATCGGCATATTCTCATCCACAGAAAAGTCGTTTATATTATATCTATATTACCAATCAACTCTCTGTCAACCGAAAGTTATTTCCAGCCTTACTTTTTTTTTTATTATTTTCTCCTCAAACAATGTTTGTAACTGATCGTAAGTTTGTTGATGTGACCAACTTAAAGCAAAATCGTTACCGGATATTTAAAACGCCAAGTAAAAGTCAAACCAATATAGTTCAAAAATCACATCTCGGAAATAAGAAGTTTGGTTCCAGTTTTACTATTCGTTACTGACGTAGTGCGAGTATTGGTCTACTTTAACACATCCCTGGCACAGGGAAACATGCTATTGTGAATACATGTTTGTTATAAATCATATTTCATTACCAACAATTGTATACTGATATTAGATGAATTTCTACAGAAAAGAAGAGCCCCCTAGTGGTGGATAAAGTAAGTACACTGGGTGCTTGATGTTGCATTAAATCAAAATCTTGTTTTTTACCTTCATTGTGATTTTAAAATATCTTCATGTTCATAGGAAGCAGATAATGGCTAATTAATTAATGGCTAAGGCTAATAATGCTAGGAACTGAGAGTCAAACAGAGCACAAACAATACTCCAAATTATTTTAAGAACTTTTGAGACACCCCCCCCCCTTTAATGAACTTTCCTGTTAATAAATTTTCATGCTTTAAAAGTTCTATCTACCAACCTTCAAAGCCCAGTTGTTTTTTCCACAGCTCTGATCTGGAGGGGGAGGGGACTGGCTTATTACCCACAATCCTGGGGCTGTAGGACATCGGGGTTCTGAAGGCTGGTTCCTATATAAAGTAACAAGTAAAATACGTAGATAAGTAAATATAATATGTCCAACAACTGATCTTAGAAAGTTCTCCTGCAGTATCATGTCTACTTTGCAAATTTTGTATGACAAATATAGCTTTCAATTCAACATACAAGCATTAAGAGATTCTTTTTTAAAGACTGATGAATCTTTTTTGTCATAAGAATAAGCAATACCTTCATTTTTGGTCCTCCAGGGGTGAAGGCCTTTTTTGCACTCATCTTGTTAAAGGCTAAAAGAAAAGTACAAGTCATAAATAAAATTTAAAAAATGTTTCACATCAAAATTACTTCAAAATACTCACAAGATTTATTCATGAAAATTCAACTTTTTTTCTCCTTATAGCAGAGCTTTACCAAATTTTCTGATCATCCTCCAGAATTTCGTCCCAGGATTTAGAAATTCCAAAATATAAATGGTTTAGAATGTATTCCTTGAGGCCACAAATAATCCAACACCACAAAAAATACTTAAACGCCACATTTACAGAACCACAAAACAACAAAGGAACTAAGACAAATTTTCAGTTGTAGACCCCGGTGATTAGGTACGGTCAGGTACTAACAATAGACACTGCAAATTAGCCCTTCCTAATCTTTCAATATAATTCTCTGCCAAAGTTTTCTTAATCTTTCTTAATTACATTACATAGCTCTTCTCTGTCGAATACTTTTAACATTTCCAGTTTAAATGGATTAATCATTCCCATCAAAATTAAAAGTTTCTTGTGTTGTGTGAATAGTAAATGACATTGACTGGCACATTTATAATGGAGAAATTAGATTTATCACCACACTAGGCTATTGTGCAATTCGTATTGACACAAGTTTTACAATCAAACATATACACTTGAAAGAATGGAACGGCAGCATTTGAATATTGACAGTAACAATTTAATATGTGGACCTCCCCAAGTTACCAGCACTGTTGTCAAAGCTAATTCTTTGATTGTCCTTTCATAATTGTTACAAATTTCTGCCAAAATTGAAAAAAAAAAACTTGGAGTCTCCTTGGCTAGGGACTGATTGATGGACCAGATACAAGGAGACTGTTCAACACTTTAAAGAACTGTCCTTAATCTATGCATGTAGGTCTACAATTTGGAGACTTTCTTCAGAGATGTGTCCCTCTGCCAATCTGCTAAAATTTTCTACTTCCATGTCCAACTCTACTACTACTGTTTAACCATTTGTCAATTGTATAGCCAATACAATCAAAACTAGAGGCACTGTGAGCAATGAGCTCACGAAAGGACACACCCTCCCCCATTATAAGTATATATTGAATGACAAAGTTCATGTTTTACTTTGGGGAAGCCCAACATTGTGTCCAATCAAAATGTTTAATAGGAGGAACACAATGGCACTATGTAATAAAGATTCTGTGAAAGTATCATTAAATTTTATTCAGTGGTAGAGGAGAAGTTGTGGATAAGAGATGGGTACCCCAATTATTATAGAAAGAATGGGAGTGTCTATGTTTTACTATGGGAACCCCCAAATGTGTGTCTCATCAAAATGTAAAATAGGAGGAGCATTATACTCTGTAATAAAGATTCTGTGAAAGTCTCATTAAATTTTATTCAGTGATATAGGAGGATTTGCAGATAAGAGATGGTGTACCCCCAAGTGTAACAGATGGATGGACACCCCATCACTATACACCCCTGCTTGTTAAGTGGGAGGAATAATGAAAAAAAAGTTTATGACAAAGCAATTCTTTTCAACAAAGTCACAAAATTCCAATATATCCACAACTTGTGCCTGGGGTTTACCAGGACCATGATGGTTGTGTTTAATGGTTTTAAATATTGACAGGAATACATGTTCATATAGAAGAAGTACATGAGGCTATCCCTCAGTGTTCAATAAAGATATTTTAGAAAAAATTCACAGATTTGTCAATGGTGAATAATTGTAATGGTCAACTCTGCCATATAAAAAGTAACATACATATGTTGTTTGAATTGAAAAATGAAGAAAAAACAAATTCAAATTTACAAAGCTGTACACCAGCAACTTTCCTTCATCATATACATGTATATTGAACCCTGTTCATTGGAGCTGTGGTCAGTGTTTGGCACTGGGTTCAGAATATTTCACAGAGTGGGAAAATGGGTTGAAAAATTGTATATGCATGGTAATATTCAAGTTCTTCTACCCTTCGTGAGGAAGAGGAGAGGTAATGAGTATACATCTTGAAAGAAAAGGCCAGAAGTCGAATCACGTAAGAAAAATCATCGTGTATGCATTTTGAATAGTAAATTTATTTAATTTAAAAAGTTACCCAGAATGGATAGTTGAATCTACAGTTAATAATGGCCTTCGCCTTCACAACAGTTCTGTTTTTATGGAATGTCTTTCTCTTTGAAGTATCAACAACCTGATTAATTCTCTGTACAAAATATACACCTTGACGAATCTCTTTTGTAGGCTTTTCTATTTTTAAAATGTTTTTCCTCAGTGATAAAGACCCACCTGTTAATCCCTCTTAGGTCCACAGAGGATTAGCTGGGATTAGGATTATCTACCTGTTCTCTGTTTTAATTCTTATGTAACTGAAACACTGTGATCTGAAAAACAAGAGGATAAAGTCAGGTCTTTGAATCAATAGGTTCACGTCTTATAAAATCTATACTAATGATATTTAAGGGCGTTTGTGGTCATACAATCTGTGTTTACAATTGTTTTAGAAACACATTGTTTTTCTTTTTCATGTTGAACCCTTTTTAAAATTTGAGGGAAAGGAAGAGGTATAATTATTTTAATAATTACTACATACAGAATCAGTCCATTTCTAATGTCATTATTTCATGGAACAAAAACTGATAATATTTCTCTTGTAAAATATAATTGTTTAATCTACTGATGTTTTAATTAAATAACCATAATAAAATATAATATGCATTGCATTATAGCACTGGAAAATTTCATTACCAATGTCTGAAATAATATCCTAAGTCTAGAAGTCTAACATTTACAAATCGGTACATGATATTTAACCCTCAACAAATACTTTGACACGTACCTATCATATTCCAGTAGAGGTACGTGTGACACTGCCTTCAGCAATCAAAGTATTCAAGGCACTGTTGTTAGATGAGCTTTTCCAATTCAGATTTCCTTCCTTACAAACCCCCCTTCAGAAACTGTTCAGCAACAGCAACTATAACAAATCAATACACACCATTATTTGAACAAGCAAGGTAATGCCGAAGTGAAAAAAAAATTCCTATGAGGCTGTCAATAGAAAGCTTGAGTACCAAATATTGACTTTTTGTTACACCTGATATGAAAATTACCACACTCATCTTTTATGATATATTATTGTCAACAGCGAAACTATTTTTTTTTCTTTTCCAAATAGTGTGCAGAAACTGACTTTCTGATTTTTGGTACAATGTATTTAACTTTTTGAGACATTCCTAGTCCACATTTCATTGTAAAGAAATCAATACACAGCTTTTATAAACTTAAGGTGGTGTAGTGATTCAAACATTTAAAAAACTTGAGATATTTACCCAGACCTGTAAAAATACTGCAATAGACCAAAGTTTATGTTTGGAAACTAAACTAACTTCAAGTGAAGTTTTGATCTGTTATTGATTTCTTTTTTTATCGCTTCTAAAAGTCTCCCCAGGACCACCATTTACAGAAATCCTACTCAGCATAAAAAACACATTAGCACTGCAACTGCAGTAGCATAAGACAAAAGCTTATTACATATTTAAGTCATAGTTAGACTCCTATTATGCCAAGATACCTCAGGGGATCAATGTGTTCATCTCATTTTCAATAAAGATCAATTATCCTCAATAAAATCTCAGTATCTCCAACTCAAAGGGACCAAACAAAATCTTTGAAATGTTTGAGATAGTAAGACCCTTTATAGAATATTTTGCTTGACCAAAGCATACATCTTACAAATATCTGTACAATATATACAGTCAAACTTTGCTGTGTTGAAGTCAATAGGACTGAGAAAAATCTTCAAGATACCCAAGAGTTCAAGATATTAATTCATAAAGAAAATGTGGTGGGTACATGTACTTCCAACTCACTTAGAAATATCCATGGTATTTGAGATATTGATGTTCGAGATACCGAAGCTCAACTGTATATATCATATACTGTAAATATATCTATTCTTGTACTTACCTTCAACTTTGTCAGAATTTTTGCCTTGAATTTCTTAAAACTGTCCTAGCTACCAAGGAAAAAAAATTTCACAGTTTATCAGTTTTTCATAATAGTACTCTGGTATACATAGAATTCACATATTAAAGAGAGATTTCATGCAAACTTCTCATTTATCAGCATGCAGATATACATTGAACTAAAAGAGCAAAGTTTTGTTTTCTAAAATATACCTTAAATTTGCAGGAACATGTATACTGCATGCTAAAATTAGACTTCAATTCTGTAAAGACATAAAATACAAACAGTTAAATCTGTATTTTTGTACACACAACAATAAAAATATATTATATATACATGCAGATGTCAGTCAAAATTCATTTTAAATTCAGATTATAATTTTAATTCATATTATCACCAATTTGTTATCATTTAGGATTATTATTAAATATTCAACAGACATGACAAATCCACTCGTACAAACAATCATCTCACTTCTCCTACTGCTATTGTCTACCCAAGACAAACTTCAATAACACTAAAATATTCATTTAAATTCTGTGTTTTTCAATGCTTAAATCTACACCCAAAATGAAATCTGATACTTGCTATACCCTCTCCATGTGTGCTTGTTCTCTTTCTGTCTCACAGATCAATAATCCTCCATATACATTGATACCTTAGTCTTACGATCATCTAATTTAATTGATTTACATCTTGTTCACTCAAGGTACATGTTCATTAATTAATTAAAGATCTCCCTAGTAAGAGATTATAATGGCAGAATGCATGCTTTGTACACTTAATTTAAACAACTTAGGTGAACATGTTGAAATATACAAATTTGAAAATTATCATGATTGTGCCTCAAGAATATATTAAATTTGAGTATTTTTTAATGTGACAGATGTCCCTATTATATTTGTGTTGGTTATCTGGAGAGAAATATATATTTAATTTTGTTATTTTGTACTGTTATTATGAGGTAAACATAAAATTAAATTGGTTAAAGTAATCTCTATGAAACACTGTAATAATCATACCTTGTTTGTGATAATTCAAATAAATTTTCAAAAATCAGACAATATACATGCATTAACAGTGTGAAGGTTTTTGTCCTCTACTATATGGCTAGATAATTGGTCCAATACAGTTGGTATAGAGTCTTACAATTTTGAGAGCATTAGACAGGTGTGGCATTGCAGAGTATATATTACTAATAAAACAGTTTTGTATGAAACAGATTTTTCTCATCTACCCCTTTAAAGATCTCATTCTGAATATAGTAAAAGCACACCAATCAGATACGATATTATCCAAATATTTTTCTTCAAAATAAAAACTCAAGTACCCTACCTTTGAATGGTCTCAAAGCCCAGTACTCCTTCACAAATATGTTCAATAGTATCCTGGAATCTTCCAGCTTCTCAGCTAAAAATAAATGATACCCACAAATAGATCAAACCTGACTCCGGAATCTATAGCAATTCTCTATTGCTTTTTTAGTTCCTTGGGAATCTTGAGCCAAATACCAGTTTAAGATTTGATCCTGTTATAACAACAATAAGCCATTTAACTTTCTCTGTATCCCTCTCTAAGTGACATTTTCATTAAATATCCTTTTGTGCTAGGGCAAACAACAGTTTTTGAACTTGATTTGCTCTTAGAATACAATTACAGGTCTGCACTTGTGAAATATCTAAATAGGAAACAAAAAATATATAATTATATACCTATCAATTGATCAGAATTTTAAATCAGTTTAAAGGAATAAATCTTAGCAGGTAAAACTTCAAGGTCTAAAGTTGTTAAGGAAACTCCATTTGTGGTTTAAATCCCTTAATTTCTTGTGTGACTTTACCTTCCTCCAAACTTCATATATATATCAAGTTTCTAGCACAAAATAATAAACTGATTTTTAATAACTTTGTTGAACTTTAAACATCATTTAAATGCCCTTGTTTATTCAAAATTGTAGGTAAAAAAAAATCAGCCACTGAGACTTAATTCCAAATATAGAGTAATATGTAGTATAGTACATGTATATGGAATACAATTTTCAAACTATTACATTTCCAAATTTAAAGTGAAATACAGTAATTTCTTTTAATAAAAACCTGGCAGTAGTAAGATTTCCTAAATTTATATGATTTCAAAGTAACTATTGTTGAGCTAGCATACTATCAATGTTGTCATACTTAAATTAAATTTAATGTGTAAGCAACACAGTTCTAAAACTATAGTGCCAAACAATCGTTATAGTGCTTTAATGATGAAACATTGTATTGTTATCTTATTTAAGATAGGACCCCATTGGAAATAAACTCTCAAGCTTTAATGGGTTATCCTGGTATCAACTAGTCACAGTGGAATTACATTTCTAAAAATATTGTTTCCTGATATTTATTTATAAATCTATTTAAAATTTATGGATTCCCAAATATTGTCTTTCGAATGATTATGTATAGTTATGTGTATTTGTTTTATGTGTGATGACATGATACCAAATAAATGATGATGATGATGACTAGCTTCTGCTTTCTTTAAAATGACAACAATCAATGGTATATATTGTATTTGGAACACTCCCCTTTTTTAATATATTCGATCAGTGCATATTATCTGTTCAAGATATATTACTAAAGTCAGGTACTCTTCACACAATTGCTCCGAAGAAAATAGTTCCATTCATGATCAGTAGATACATTACACCAAATGTTAAGAATAATGATGCATATTTAATACGTTAAACAAAACAAAATTTACGTAAAAAGATTTTAAGAAAATCACTTTTTCCCCAGAAAAGCAAATAAAAAGTTTTCATATTCCTACGCTCGCTGCCTCCTCAGTCTTTTTCACGAAAATATATAGGTCATACTTCGATTGATAATGATAAATCTTTTCACCAATTATAAATCTTTTCACCGATTATATTAATGTCATGATTATTGTTCGTTAATTGCCGTATATTTCTTTTGAGTGAGAATGTTAATCATTAACTGTGTGTTTTTTTCTCTTTTTTTTAAATAACGGAATGGTTATTTTGGTTAAACACCTGCAATCGTAACTTCTCTGCACAGCAACGTGATTTTGTCGGAAAGGATCTTCCCACGTGTGTAGACCTTGGCTATTTGGTCTTGCAAGCACAGGTGTGTGCACCATTCGCTAGTGACGCTAAGATCATGTAGACTGGGCATCAGAATTTTCTACAGAGATGAAGAAGTTTAGAACTATACACTAGTTTCATAACAAGTGCAGGTTTTTTCTCAAGCCCTAGACTGGGCTAGAGGGGCTGAGTTATCTATTTAAAACAATGCTAGGTCATCGATCTACTCCGTTTAAAAACACGAAATGTGCTATTTTTGTAAAGAAAAACATTTCTAGAAACAAAAATGAAGTTTATCTTCAAAACGTCTGCATATTCAAAATCTATATCAAGTGTTAAATGTCGGATTCTATTCTATGACGAAGGAATATTCAGTGATGCTCCACAGCCGCAACCGATCTTGCGCTTTCCTTTGCATTTAACAACGGCCGTCTCTGGACGAGTTCATTGATTACTCTAAAAGGTGACAGGTTGACCCATCTTTAACATCTGCCTTTACTTTGAGTGATTGTACTTTAATAGCACAAAATTAAAAAATAAATTAAAATCTATCCTTGATAGATCTATAGTTTTGCTATTTTAAAAAAAAATTGGGCTATTTTGATAATCCATAACGGCTTGGACTTGTTTACAGAAGATTCTATAATTGGAAAGTTAGATGGTACACATGTAGCACAGGCCCATAGTACGCGAGATTTTTTTCGGAGCCCCCCCCCCCCCCCCCCACTTTGAAAATGTTGCTACAGGCCTGTAACATGCTGTTTGGATTAAATATTCCTGAAAATGAGTGAGGTGTTAAATACATTTTTAAAATTATACTATTAATTATATTTAGTCTATGTTCTATGTGAA